ACATTTGTTAGTGCTTGATTGAACGGGAAACCAGCTGCAATCGTGCCAATCGCAACTTTTCGGCCCTTTCCGTCACTCTTCGGATTAATGACAATTGCCGAGGTAGTTCCGATTGCAATCGTGACAATTCGGGCGATTGCGTCATACTGCGGAATCAGACGAAGTAATATTACGGAAATCTAAGCTATTTTAGTTACTTCGGTAATCCCAGTTTGTTTATATAAATAGGATTTCTATTTTTACTTGATTCCGTTTCAATTCTTTTTCAAGACGCAAAAGTTTGTTTCTTTTATAATTGGTTTTTTGTCTTTATTAGTTTAATACAATAGAAAATGGTTACTGTAGTAGTATTCCGTCCTGCTTACCAAAAAGATCGTGACCGAATCACGCAGAAAATTAGTGCATGATCGAGTTATATTTAGATCTACTGAGAGAGTTTAAACGTCTTGGTGGGGTAATCTAAAAATAGCCCATGCATATCATTAACCTTACCACGTGCTGATCTGTGTTGTCGGTATATCTGTGATCATATATATTTTAGGTGTAACATAGTTGATACATGCTTATTAATTGGTACCCACACGTAACGAAGTCTTTTAGCGCATTTACTTGTCTCTAAAGCTGCTTATATAAATGAAATTAGCAACTGCCCAAACGAATGACTCTCTCTGAGAAAAAAGTGGAAATGAAATGTGCACACTTGTTTCAGTATGATAGATTGATCTCCACGTGAGAGCCAATGTTAGTATTTTTACGATTGATTATTTTCTTTATTAGTTTTATACAATAGAGAATAGATTTCGAATCGTTTTTGACAAAAAATATTCGTTTTTACAAAAAAAAGTTGCTACTGTTATCGTCAGCATGTTCCCGTTCAGTTATAATCAGTGGACTTCTGGTCCCTATTTGGTCCAAATTTGCACGCATAACACTGGTGCTCAAACAAATGGGCACAGGTGCTCGTCCAGTCTTGGGCTTACCCTACCTATCCCTTCAAAAGTGAAACTTTTTTTTTTCGAGAAAAAAAACTAAATAAACCCTTACTGATATACAAATACCTTAATTAAAAAAAAAATTGTGATAATGAATTGAAAAAAAAAATTTAAAGGGAAGGGATGATGGCACAACTGAGCAAGCCTTTCCTTTTAAAAGGAAACTTTATTTATTTTTCCTTTTTTCCGGTCATTTTATCCTTTCCGGTATTCAGTGTACGTATTTACTGGCCGGGATCCGGGACGCCCGGGATCCGGGATCGTATAAGATATTGAGGAAAAACCTAATGAACTATATTTGTGTTGATTGTTGTCGTAATGAAAGGCCATTAAACGTTAATTTTTTTATTGTATATAATGAACGTTAAATTAATTTAACTTAGAATATAGATATATTTAGAGCTATTTTTTTAACAAACTTAAAATGCGGAAAATCACAATACTTATAATTATATGCCTAATTAATTGGAAAAATCAAAGACTATATTCTTGAATTGGTCAAATCCCGGATCCCTATATGTTTTAATACGATCCCAGCTTTTCTGAAAACTATATACTTGAACTGGCAATCCGTGAGATCTATTTACATTTTAATACGATCCCCCGGCTTTTTCTGAAAACTATATTCTTGAACTGATTAATTCCCGGGATCCCTATGTTTTAATGGGATCCCGGCTTATCTGAAAAACATTTTCTTAGACTGGTCAATTTCCGGGATCCCTATATTTTTTTAATAGGATCCCGGCATTTCTGGCTGAATTGATTGACAACTTGTGTTTACTTTAGGACTTGTGCCTCTCATTCCTATACTAAATAACATATTACAACTTAATTTTGTATAAAGAGACATCTTTATGAAATCTACCTATCTAACATTTTGTGGTCAAGGTCAACAGGCCATATGGTAAATGTGCATAGACATAGGGACTTCATTCTATCTGTTTACATGCATCTTCATATATACTCATACTCATCTTGGTTAAACTGAGAGAACTTTATATGTCACTTTCAGTCAATGAGTTTAAGATTTTGAATTTACCGGCCGGAATTCCAGTTTTGAATTTATTCTACTAAATAATTAACAAAATTTTCTTTAAATTTACACTGGCCTGAACTTATTTACACTGGCCATCGGGCACCGGGCCAGTGTTGACTGCACTTTTATTTTGATGTTCGCTGAAATCTTTTCAGCTAACAGAACTGTCATTTTTACATTTAAACACACCCCTTGAAAAAAATTACGAAGCGAGTCGCTACTAGCTTTTTTAAAAGCTAACCTTGTCGTTACCTTATGATCGACCTGATGTCATTTTTAGCCTCTCCCAAAAAATTCTCTTGGAGATGGGGGTGGGGGGAGGGATGCAAATACAAATACAAATACAAATACAAATACTTTATTCGCTTTAAGGCCTCCGGCCCATGCAAAAACATATATACAGAGAAACAATTTACATAAAATTTATAGCATGTGCACAATGTTTAAACATATACTATATAAATTTAACTGAAAATAACTTTTAAGCATAAAAAAAAAAAAATTTCTGGGAGTTTCTTAATTATCATTTTGTATCTAAGTCATATTAATTGTTAATCTTTCTTTTTTCAAAAGCGTAATACAAAAATGTTGCTGTACCCTTTATAAGATCATTATTTTTTGTAGACATTAATATATTAAATTTGTTTCGGGTTGGAGCATTTAGGTACTTAATCGGTAAATATAATTTTCTAAGTTCTGAATAAAAATCACAACATAGTAAAAAATGAAATTCATCTTCTATTACATTCTTAGAACATTTTGTGCATAATCTGTTTTCCCTCAATATCTTTTTATGTCTACCAACCTCAATTTCAAGATCATGTGACCCTATTCTAAAATTTGAGTATATATATCTAAATTTTCTAATGTCTAGAACATCTAAATAACATTCATATGAGAAATTTTCCTTAAACATACCATAAAAAGACAATTTTACATTAGAGGTTACAGATGAATGCCACTTCTTGTAGGTATATATCTTTTAAACCTATTTTCAAATTGTGCTATAAAGTATTTATCTGATGTAACAGATTGACTTTCCCATACATATCCAAAACCATGACTTTGTAAAATTTTTCTTAAAGATGTAACCCAATTGTCATGTCCCTGTATATCATCATTAAACATCATTAAGTAACACTTTTTAACTAATCTTATCGTTTGGCATTTTAATAATTTTTAACCAATAGTTAATACACCTCTTAATGGATATTAAATACATGGGATACCTCCCGCAGTCGCCTAATACAGCTACATTGGATGCATTTTGTTTACAACACATAAAGCGTTTGCATGCATAATATTGTACCCGTTCTAGCTCTTCAAATTTACCCATGCCCCAAATTTCAGCCCCATAAAGTAACTGAGTACATATTTTAGTAACAGTTTAAAAATATTTTCTTATTTAATTGGCCATAATCATACAAGGATTTTAAGATTGATATAAAAACCCTCTTACCCTTTATGCATAACTCGTGTACCATTCTTTTCATAGAAAGTTGTCTTGTAAATGTTAAACCAACGTAACTAAAAGCATTAAACAACTTCAATCTGCTTGTTTTTATAAGTCCATTTTTTCAATTTTACATAATGTACCACCATTTTTTAAAAAACAACTATTTTTGTTTTACTTTCATTTACTTTAAGTTTATATGTATCGCAAAAAAATGACAAAGTGTCTAACTGTTTTTGTAAACCAGAAATTGTATCTGAAAGGAGAGCAATATCATCTGCAAACATTAAAGATAAAAGTTGTGTCTCAGACGGATGTAATTGAATTCCTCTTATGCCACTATCATCTAAAATATGTTGTAATTCATCTATATAGAAAGAGAAAAGAATCGGGCTGGCCAAACAACCTTGTTTTAATCCTACTGAACTTAATATGTAATCACTTCTTTCATTATTACATCTAATACATGCTTTAACGGTTCTATACATACTTTGAAAAGCTATATACAATTTTCCACTGACACCCCCATTTCTAAGTACATTCCAAAGAATTTGTCTATTTATGGTATCAAAACATTTATGAAAATCAATGAATGCAACAAATATCTTTTGTTTTTTATTTTTAACTAGTCTATCGGTTAAAGATTTTAAAATAAATGCATTATCCACAGTTGAGTATCCTGCTTTAAAACCACTCTGGTTTTCAGAAATTTTACTATATATTTGTGTAAAAAAAATTCAAACGAGCCACTAAAATCCCACAATATATTTTACCTAAAACATTTTGTAAACTTATACCCCTATAATTGTCCACATTGTTTATATCCCCTTTTTTGTGAAGTGTTGTTATAATAGATTCACACCAGGATTCTGGATACTCGCCTGTAGCAAATAGTCGATTAAACAATTTAACAAGTATATGTATAAAGCTATCTATACCGTAAATGAAAAACTCTGGGATTAGATTATCAGGACCTGGTTTTTTACCAGTTTTAATATGCTTTACAGCCATTCTTACTTCATCTTCAGTGATCTCAGAATTAAAAATGTATTGATCAACTTCATTATCTATTTCTTCATTTATCATTTCTAAATTTTCACCAGTATTTTCATCACATTCATAAGGGTTTAGCAGGCCTGTAAAATATTCAAGCCATTCCTGGGTAGAAATATTGTTTACTGTCCTACTTTTCTTGCCAGTCATAGATTTAAGTTTTGACCAAAATGACTTAGGATCGTTTACTTTTGCTGTCAGGTCATCAAGGTTTTGTTTATTGTATTCTCGCATCTTCAAATTACACTTGTTTTTAAACTCATTTCGTTTTAAAAGATATCTTTGCACCTGCCCCCCCCCCTTCAAACCCCAAACAGAAGCGGGCACATCCCCTTCTGGCAACCCCCTGATGTATCTTTTGGATAGGGGGCGGCGCCGAAAAAGTGGTCACTTTTTCTCAAACAAAAACAAGTGTTGGAGGCCTAAATTAGGCAATATTTCACCATTTGAGACAACAAAAAGGGCGGGGTGAAAAGGCGTGTATATCGGGTAATTGTTTAAACTTGAACATCTTTGGGCATATTTAATCAAAAATGGTTGTCAGACAAATTTCCAATCATAATTGTACCAAAACAGACTCTTTGTTTGGATGTTAAATATATACATCTGTTTAACATCATGGAAGTTTACGCTCTCTGTTTCTGTTTACATCTGAAACCACATAGTAGACCTATTTTCAATCCGTATTAACTCAGAGGTTATTATAGATAATAGCCGAGGGTGTTCCGATTGGTAAGCGTTCCTAATGATAACACGTTAACCTATATGTAAATATTAACATGAACTTTTAAATCGTGAATACTAGTTCTAATCATGTGGGTAGGGATTGTATATTGTATTACTGTGTTTTGTGCCATTACTTCTTTCTGTCACAGTGTTACGGTGCAAACACAATGTGGAGCTGTTGATGGAATTCAAAATGACGGAGTAAGCAGTTTCTTGGGTATTCCTTATGCACTGCCACCAATCGGTAAGTTGCGATGGAAACCGCCAATTGCACTCAGCCCGCGCGCGGGAAATTGTTGGAATGGTACTCTACAAGCACACAATTACGGAAATACGTGCTTCCAAATAAGCTTCTCTGATCCTACTCGACAAAAATTGCTAGGAAGTGAAGACTGCTTGTATTTGAACGTAATAACTCCTTCGTCAAGCCCGCGCATTCTCCGACCAGTAATGATCTGGATACACGGTGGGTTTCTGCAATACCTGAATGGAAACTGGCCGCTGTATATGCCTACAGAGGAACTGGCCAGGGAAACTGACACGGTATACGTAGGATTTAATTATCGTCTGCATGTTTTTGGATTTATGGCCCTTCAAGTTCTGGCAGACCAGTCACCGACAAACACCTCCGGAAATTATGGGTTCATGGACATGATAGCAGTTTTGAAATGGGTTCAAGCCAACATTAAAAACTTTGGCGGGGATCCGGATCGGGTAACCTTTCTTCAGTTTTAACGTAGTTACATTTTGCCATATACCGTTCTATCATTTGAAGACTGGATCTGTATCATAGTTCTAAAACATTAACTCAGATTAAAATAAATTCTAATGGTATTATCAGAGACATATTTAAATACCATATGTTTTCTCCTCTCCTTTACTGGTATACGATATAGATTTTTTTCTGCATTTATTTAGCCAGACAAATATAGTGCATACTGCATGCTATAAGTGGATCAGCACTGTTTTATATATGTGCAATTTATGATATTATGTTAATTAATTATGCCATGTATGTTCATTTTGTGATATAGTTATAATTAAAACTTATACTACGGAGGCGTGTGAGCGACATTGTGATAATAAACAGATACTCTTTGAAGCACTGGTGACAAATTTAAAGCAAATGAAAACCGGTGAACTTATTTTTCTTCTTACTAAACACAGAAATTAACAATATTCTTCTAATCAAATGCACTTTGAATATTGTTTTACAGGTAACGATATTTGGACAGAGCTCCGGAGGAACCTCAATATTTGCTTTGTTGGCTTCACCTCTGTGTAAGGGCCTCTTTCATAGAGCATGGATGTTGTCAGGATCTCCAATATTGAATAAAACTGCCAATGATGCCTTCAAAGACAACGAGTTATTCATGAGAAATACAAATTGCACGAATGTCGACTGCTTATATTCCCTTTCGTCTGCTGAAGTTACTTTCGCAGTACCTTGGACATCCTACCCCTACTGGGCAATGTTCGACCAAGGAGATTTACCTACAAAGGGTCATTTTGACGGTGCTTTAGCCATAGTTGATGGTAATCTTATACGGGTGCGTTCAGAATGTTGCCACTGATATATGGAGAATTTGTCAAATTGTATACCAATATGGTAACAATGTATACCAACTATAATAAGATTTTCTTTTAGTAATAATGCAATGTGTGCAAAGTACGAATATTTGAAAAATGGCGTCATAAAAATTATATTAGTCTCTGCGTTCAGTTTATACCCGCCATGAATCCCGGTTTAATAGAATATATTTTCCTCTTAAATGTCGATTTGGGATATGAAAAAAAACTAAATGCTTTTAAGCAGTGATTTTGTTATACTTTTGAAGTTTGCTTTGAAAGATATTGCTAAAGTATATTGACAGTGTTAACAATCTCTCATCGTTGACAACTCTTACGGTACTGGTATTAAGGGAAAAAAAACACAGATTATAGGTAACATCTTTATAACAACTAATCTTTGGGGTTTTTTTGTCATAAATGATATCATTGTTAAATCTAAGGATGATGCCACTGGACGATTTCTGAACGCACCAAATGTATACTCTTTATAATATTATTACAAAAATCCGAAAGTAAAGGACCATTATGGTATAATATATATAATATTATATTCATATTATTATGAAATATACGGTCATATGACACCGTATAAGTACGAATTTCAGTAGCTGTATCAATATGATTGTTAATACATTTCTGAACTAGGTCAACTTCAAGTATGTACTTAATTTATCTACATGTATTTAGATCTGGGCTGTTCAATACTCAAATATAACATACTGTAGTTGGTTTAAAGCTGAACGTTCAATTTACATTTTAATAGCTATCTATTGCCGATAATATTGCAATTACACGTGTTTTGTAACGTGTAATGTACATGTACTTTTACGTTTAATTTTACCAATTTTAAAATGGGAAACAGCGAACTGCAAATAAAAAGCAAAACTATTTTCCTACTCATAGGATTGTTTTGTCAGATATTGTATATAAAGAGTATTCGGCAGAACTGTGAAAATCTACGAGCAAAACAGTATTCACAAACTCTGACACTTTTACCAAAGGTCAGGAAATATTTTTGTGTGCCAAAGAACCCAAAGGAACTATAATTTAGTATGGAAAAACTTGTCGATAAGTATTAGAAATAATATGCAATGTATTTACTATGGTGACATAGAGGAGACATAATTTTGAAAAAAAAAAGTTTCCTGCAAAATGATGCTCGTGATACTTATTGACATGACGTCTTGACGTCACATATCACGTGGTAATGCCTTCACAAATAATATTGATATTTCAATGCTTACTGCCATTATAGTTGCAAGCTTCAACTGATACAAAGTTGTTTTTTTTACATTTCATGTAAAGGTGTAGTACTAACAGAAGCCCCATTTGATGCCTGGTCACATGGTAACATGGTAGACGTTCCACTGCTCATAGGTACTGTTACTAGAACTAGATTATAAGCTGAGATAAGTGAGATTGTTATTTCTGAAATCTCATCGAAATCATAAATTATCATTAAACTTTTACTGACTTTATTTCTGATAACTAATGTTCAAAATTGTCGAAAAGTGTGCGATTGCGAAATATATTACAAGCAATGTAATAGAAACAATGACGGTATTAAACAAAGAACACACAAATCTTTTCGCTTTTTTGTATATAACTATATATATTTTTTTCTTTCTAATTCTTAGGATCTTGTGCCAATGAAATTGACTCTGACCCAACGGACAAATCTATTTATAACTGGACATGGATACAATATGAAGACCATGTAAAGCAGTACATCGGAACATTCGGAAGTGACGTAACAAACATAGCTCTTAAGTTATACCCTTCAAAATTTATATCCCCTGAATTCCAGCTAACCAGTATGGCAAGTGATCTACGTATGAATTGCCCTACTGATGTTCTAGCGTTACGTGCGGCTTCCGCTTTTACGTCACCAGTCTACCGTTACGTCGTGACGTCATTTCCGTCTGTACCTGTTAATGCTGTAGGTATCCCTTTCCCTGCGTCATATTCCTTTCATCTCTGGGATGCGTTCGCCTTCTTCGGATTTATACCAGATTATATAAAACACCCTACAGATATGGACATTGAATGGCAACGAAATGTAAGACAGGAAGTAATGGCGTTTGTTAGAAGTGGAGCACCATCTACGTTGTCATGGAAACCTTTCCCTTCAACAGTAGGCAATTTGTCTTTTACGACAAACGCAATAGCCTCTTACCACGAGGCACAATGTGAATTCTGGTTAAAGAATGGCTTTTTTGACTATGCATGGATAAACTAATACACAATTAAAATGTAAATATTTCTGAAACGAATATTTCCAATGAGTGTTTATTTATTATTTATTTATTTATTTATTTGGTTAAATTCACTTGACTTTATTTCCATTTGTAATGGAAAATATCATTAATTATAAAAAAAACAACATATTTCAGTATAGCGTTTGCACACTGTGGTTTAAAGAATAGTTTAGCCCTTTTAAGGCTTGTCGTGAACAAGATGTAGCGTATTTCAAAATATCAATTAAAATCGCACAAATTTTGATAATTGTATTTTATTTTTATCAATGTCACACTTTAGGCTGTATCAATGTATATCGTGGATCAATGGTTTATTATCGTTCAGCTTAGTAATTGATTTTGATTGGTTGACTTGTTTTACATATCTAAATGGTTGGTGTTTGTTTAATTTCGTTTTTATCACGCTAATTAATAAGTATTTCCTTTGCCACCACAAATATTATATTTTGTTCCTTATATTTTGCTTTTATGCCCCCGAATGGCGGCATATTCAAATCGTTCGTTCCCACTTGCATAACATTCGTGTCCGATCTGTAACATTGTCATGCATTGAAAGATTTTAAAATAACTTGGCACAAATGTCAACCACATGATGATGATATGTCACGACTAAGATCATGTCCTCATCTCAAAGGTCAAGGTCACAGATACAGCTTGAAGGTTTACATTTTCACAATAAGAGTTTAAAGGTACACATTAAGACGACGTGTCGTGTCCCTAAGGTCAAGGTCACATTTATAGTTTGAAGGTACTTATTCTCACAAGGGAGTTTGAAGGTAAAAAATCGTTTCCGGACTGTTACTTGTAATAACTTGGTACAAATGTCTACCATATTAAGATGACGTGTCGCGTCTAAGGCCCATGTCACTACCTAAAGGTCATGGTCACACTTAGATGTTAAAGGTTCACATTCGTGTTCGGACTGTAACTTTGCTATGCATTGAAGATTTTAAAATAACTTGGCATAAATGTCTACCACATCAAGATGACATGTCGCGTCCAAGACCCATGTCCCTACCTCCAAGGTCAAGGTGGCAAGTTTGCTATGAATAGCACTTCATTTCTCAAGAACAATATTAAGCAAATAGTTACTTTAATTCTCTTTTCTTTTCATAATACCTTTCTGCAATACTTACGAAACCTTTTCGGAGGGCATTCGTAACTTTTGCGTGACAGCTCTTGTTGAATTGAGGTAGTTGCATTTATTTGTAGGTGCTTCTGCTTTTATTAAATATTAATATTGAGTACTGTTTTGTTTTAGAATGTATACATGTATACATATATTTAAAGATTAATATAGAATCTTACTGAATTAAATTTTAATACACTGGAGTTCGTGCCTTACTTATAATTTATAGAAACAATACATTTTGTTTTATATTAAGCAGTTTTAAACTATCATATTTTTTTTTCAATATTTTCAATGGAATACTCGTCATGTTTGTATACATGTAGCGCATGAACAACGGAAACTACGAAATACTGTAGGGACATTTTAACTTCATAAATTCATCAATATAACTTAACGATTTCAACTTAATGAATCCGCATTTAAAACTGTAAGAATTCACGACTTCAGCTTCATGATTTTCACGAATTCAAGTTTTAAACTATACGATTTCAATCTCAGATTTTACGATTTGAACTTCATGATTTCAACTTAATTTATTCACGATTTCAACTTTTCAAATTTAATTTTATGAATTCATACTTTCATCTTCACGAATTCTTGAATTTAATACGTGAAGTTTAAATCATGGAACTGAAATCGTTTATTTGTGGAATCGTGAAGCATAAATCGCCAATTCGTGAGGGTTAAATGGCAGATTCGTGCACTTAAAATGTGAAAACGTGAATTCATTGATCACTTTTCATGATTCATTATTCTTGATCTTAATTCGTGAAGTTTAATTGCAAGTTCATAAAAATGAAATCGTAAAGTAGAATTGTACGATTCTTCTTTCATAGCATGACCATCAGAGAGGCAATGCCAGGAGTTTATAGAGTCCCAGGTTTGAGTCTCGGTCAGGCTGCACATTACAGATAGACAGAGAATATTAAGTAATAAAAGACAGCAAAACAGCAATGCTATACAAGATAAAAGATTATGTTTATGTTTGTTTGTTTGTTCAGTTTTATGGCGCACAAACACAGTGCAGGCCATATGGCGCCGAAACAGGAAAGATGATTTTGGCTATCCTTCAAAACCATCTCATCTGCTGGAGGTAAGAGATGCATAGACTCCAGTTATTCTGACCCATTAAGTCGCATCTTACGATCACGCGGGGAAAATAAACGGTGGCTGCAATTCGTACGTATATGTCTCAACCAAGGCAAACCATTAGCCACAGGTGGGGTAGGGGAGTGGGGGGTTAAAAGATTAAAACTATAGGAGAAGGACTTGCATTTGCAGGCAGGCTAAGTAGTTGTTTATTAATCATATTTCACAAAATTTGGTTTGTAGGAAAAAAGGAATATTTGAAAACGTTTGATTTAACGTGTGGTTGGCAGAGACAGTTGATTTTGAATGACGAGATCTAACTTGGAGAATGGAAAGAAATCACTTGAAAATCTTGAAAAATAGGGTTAGTCTGGCGTTCAGACGTCAATTGTGTTTATGCACTTTCATGTGTCTTTAAAAATACATTAAACACATCTGACAGTGTAGCTAAGTCGTGGCCACGAGATAAATAAAAACACACACATGTCACCTTTGTGCCACCGTAGTTTACCTATCAAATAAGAAATTAATTCCTCACAAAATAAATGTGCTGAAAGCAACATTAAAACACTCAAAAATTAACTTTCTCACCTTATGTCATACAATAACCCAGTAACAACAGTTTTTGACACCTTGTGAAATCAATTGTCATGCCTAAGAGCATTCAAGCAGATAATAACAACAAAGTTTAGAATTAGGTAGGTGTTTACTTTAATCAGTGGTCTCAATAGTGGGGTCAAATAAAGAATAAAACAATAAATGGGACTGAATCTGGTGGTCTTATAAAAGTGGATAAGCAGGGTGGTCTTAATTCTGGATCATGTAACCATTGATATAAAGAACAGAAAATTCCGTTCTTAAAAATGGTCTCAATAGCAGGGTGGTCTTAATTCCGGGGCGGTCCTGAGTAGGGTTTCTTCTGTAGTCCACATTAACTGTAGCCTAATTAATTCGGCGTGAACGGTTTGACCCATTTTACAGACTTTTTTTTTCTTACTGTCAAACCGTTACAAAAAGACAGCGCCCGTCCAAAATTATCTCGGTGTCTCTTTGACAAGTCTAATTAGTTGGACTACATTAACTGAAAACGGGAAACGGACAAAAGCCCTCCCGGACAAAAGCCTTCCCGTCAAAAAATGACAAGGGGGACAAAAGCCCTCCCGTGAAAATGACAGGGCGGACAAAAGCCCTCCCGTGAAAATAACAGGGCGGACAAAAGCCCTCCGGTAACAAAAATAAATATGTATGTTGAATACCTGTTTTTTTTTCAATGCACTCAACATATTAGAATTGTTACATATATTTCTTGTTGTTTTCAATTGGCCTAAGTACCTTTTATTCTGAATATACCTTCCTGAAATGCTTAACGAGGTAACTTTTTACACAAACAAAGCCACTTTTAAAAGTAATTGACTCATTACAAGGCACATTATAAATGTCTTTAACTTTTAAGTTAGATAATTTTAACTTCTTTTAATCATTTATTACTCTATTACTCTTAACTTCACATAGGAGTAATCCTTCATATTTACGTGAATAAATGTGCACTTACAGTTTTTAGCACTAATTATTCAGATGCCTCTCATGAATGTGCTCAAGCTCATACAAACACGCTTATACCAATGAAAAACAAAAATATTCATGATTACAATTTTAATATGTTAAGTGCGTTGAAAAGAAAATATAAATTATTCAACGTACATGCGGGAGGGCTTTTGTCCGCCCTATTATTTTCACGGGAGGGCTTTTGTCCGCCAAGTCATTTTTACGGGAGGGCTTTTGTCCGCCCTGTCAATTTCACGGGAGGGCTTTTGTCCGCCCTGTCATTTTCACGGGAGGGCTTTTGTCCGCCTTGTCACTTTTTGACGGGAGAGCTTTTGTCTGGGAGCGCTTTTGTCCTACACTCACTGAAAACGGCTTAACCAAAAAATGATTAGGTACTATTTGACCTTCGGAAAACTGATGTCATATTAACTTTCGAGTGTCTAAAACCACTCCATTCGTCACATCTAGTAGGTGCGACGATAAATACCATCTTTTAAGTTGCTGAGTTAAAATCCCGATCTCTCTCTCTCTCTCTCTCTCTTACTTCTACTTGTTTCTGAGTCTGACCTGGAACTTAACATGCATGTATCTTTCTGTCTGATATTTCTAACAATGAAAGGAAATTAGATAGAATCAAAATAGCGTTTGAAGTACGGTATCTTTTTTTTACAATAAACTTATGATATAAATTAAGGACATCACTCGGTTGTTGTGGTCCAATGTCCATGTTTTAAGCCATGATGGAACGCAGAGCGTAATTTTGCGTCGCGGGTTAATTAATTAAAATTTACTTCCTGTTTACAAATGTTTTAATTTTTCGTAGTTTATTTGTGCACTGTTGATATTTTCTTCCTGATATTGCTGAATTTATCTGAAGGTAATGATTAAATGTGATTTTAAATAAGATTTATATTGCTTGTGTTAAATAATGGGCAGTTGGACAGTGCAATGATTTTATGCACCAGTACTCGGATATGTTCTATGTGAAACTAGTTTTTTTTTGTTTTTTAGGAAAATACAATAACATGTTTATTTGTCTTCTGAAACAAAGATGTTCATCTTGTCCGATATAATGTAAATTCTACGCTAGTAGTATTGTTATATTGCAATTTGATGTAATTGCAGAGGATTTTACAAAAGACTTTTGTGTCTAAAATTAATAAAGATTAAAAAGATAAAAGTTCATAACATTTCAAGCTTTACTTGAGAACTGATGTAGACTCTAATGTTTTTCCCATTTTTTTGATAAATAAGGATTAGCATCACTTAAATATAATCATAGCATATTGAGATGAACATATTTTCAATCGTTAAAATTAAAAAAAAATAATTAAATATTGAGTATACTTTTTTCAGGTAAAGTAGGGCTCACACTGACTTAAAAGAAATAATCTCTGGCCAATAGTTTTAACTTAAAAGAATAATAGCCAAAAGTTAATCGGACGATCTAAGATTCTGCGATTTACAGTCTGAGCAGTTGATAAAATATATTTTTAAGTTTTATAAGAACTCTCAAATACACTGATACATTTGTGTATGTTGATGACACTACTTTTTTCTTATGTAGAACGATGGCTTTAATAACAATTAAAACTTTTATTGAGCAGAATAATATGTTTAACATTAGAATCACTAGCAGTTTAAAAATAATAATGATTCATTGTACCTTTACATAATGCTCGAGTATACTGTATTTAAATATAAGGGACATCAATGTAGACCTACATTGTTTTACTTTTTTGATATCTTTTGTTTGTTCTAAAAATCAAATTTTGTCAGCTATGAGTATAACCACTGTCTAATTCCAAATTTCACACAGAACTGGAGTAGCCTCAGTAGGTCATATAAGCATATAGAAATTAAACTTGCAAATACATTCACAGAATTTTCAGAATAACTTACTGAAAAATGTCATCATTACGAATATAATGCATATTTTCTGTCTTTATAGTAAAGATTTTTTAAATAAGACATAGCTTATTTTGCTTTCTAATAATAATAAAAAATATCGGAGTCGCGAAAATATGTGACAATTGAATTTTTTCCTGTTTTCTGCAGAAAAATTCATAATTTTGGTTGTTGTTGATTTAATTGTCTGGTAGTAATATTTTTTAAATATATTAACATTTTTTTCCATTGGCGATTTAGTCAAGCAGCATAAAACAAAAATTTCCAAATTTTCAATTTACGTAAGACTATGGCTAAGTGGGGGAAATTAAATGGCTGTTCTGATGTTGGACAATATCTTTAAGGTACTTATACAAATTTACTTCTTACATGTATTTTTATCTCCTTGGGGCATTAGTAATCAATGTGCGACTGATAATAAGTTGACACTTGTTTAAATCTACCCCGCTGGTGTTAATTTGGTTTACTGCATTCTTTATCGATTTTTACACCTTATATAAACACTGTTTGATGTAAAAATAATCGCCAGTTTCTGTATCCAAAATCCAAAATTAATCGCCAGTATTATAAAATTATCGCAAATGGCGACCATGGCGATCAACAACGTGAGCCCTGGATAGAGTAATAATTTTTTTTATTAAATCACAGATATATATACAAGGAGTGACAGTCAGTGGTCTTATCAACCGAGCTATTGCGCTAAAATATGTAAAAATCAGTCTGAGAAATAAGGCACAGGCCAGATGCCCGAGGCTTGCAAAACTCCGAAGATTGTAAGCCTGACAGGCTTCAATGAATTCAGAATGTGTTTTCATATAAAATTAGTTTCAATATTTTTTCCGAAATATTATAATTGTGTAGTACGTCATCTGTATATGTACTTCAAGTAAGATTTGCGTAATGCATGTAGTCAACCATTTATGCATAATCTATATTATCATCTACAGCTATTGGTTAGTGTAAATATATGGACAATGCTTGATTATAATCATAAATGATTGCTAGTTAAAGAACAAGTAATCGTAAATTTCTGTTTAAGAATACATTTATTTTTAGATTGACCCATTTAAATTTGTGAACAACAAACATGAATCGGCTAAATTAAACATCTGAAGTGAAGCATCTGAGTATATAAGAACAGAAAATGAGAATTTTATTGAAAAATGGCTGACAGATTTTCCGTGCATAAATTGAACCTTAAGGTGACAACAGACACTTTCCATGGTACTCACATAAATGTCATTTAAACCAACTTATTTTAGTAATAATTGTTATTTATTTAATCTTTGTGCATTAAATGTCGTTGATCATCATAAAAAATAATATATTTAAAAAAAATGCCTTTGTAAATGATTGATTTTTAATAAAAATCCTAAAATTTTAAATCGTCATATCAAAGTCATTTTTTATTTTTTTGTCATCAAACTTTTGGAAAATAAACATACTGATAATATCTGGGGAACCGTGTCTCAAATTTTTTATTTTTTCTATCTTTTCTCAAAAAAATATTACGTATCGTCAAATATTTTATGCGACTTTTTTCACCATACATATTACGTAATTAAAGATAATTACGCTGATTGAGCAAACAAAAATCCCTGACACGGTTCCCTCCATAAATGAATTCCCTTTCATGTGCTTTAAACCGCATGTTAATTGCTTGATTATTAAAAAAGTTATGCCGATTCAAAGTTAGACCGACCCGCATCAAACGAAGTGTCATAAATGGGCTGTTCTCTCTCGGACCCCTACGTTTCACGCTAAATAATTGCATAATACACAAATATCGCACCAGAGAGGGTCACAAGTTGCGGTAACATACTCTAACAACATTTTATGACCCAGTGACATCTGACCAATTAAAAAGTTGCTGATTAATATCAGTTTATAACAGAAATTTCTTCAAATCTTAACGTGATTTACCGTCCGTCTGGTATCGGTCGCACATGTCACGTGACTTTCGGTAAAATTTGAGGCACTCGGTGGGGGGAAATGGAACGTATTTGCGCACCGCTAGCGGGGTATTTAATTGTTTCACTTTTGAAGTTTATTATTATTATCATCAGCATTATTATTATATTATACCAGTGTCACTCTGTCTGTGTATTCGTGTATGAAATTCCGTTAAAATATAAATTAAAATAACAAAAAACTGAGCTTCTGACGGTCTTTTAAAGTCCATGGTAGATGTACAAATAAGAACGGGATATTATATTTTTTTTCCTCCAAATTGATATAAATGCTTCACATATTTTAATAGAAATAAAAGGTAAATGCTTCACATATTTTAATAGAAATAAAAGGTATCACTCGATCATTATGATCTGACCTTCTTGACTTCTATTATCATGAATACACGTATCATCTATGCACGACATAGAGATCCAGTTTCTTGTCTCAGGTTTACTATTAGTACTGTGTTCGATTTACTGGCGAACAATTTATTCAAAGCATTCACTGATAATATATTTTATTATCTTTTTAGCTCACCTGTCACAAAGTGACAGGGTGAGCTTTTGTGATCGCTTTTCGTCCGGCGTCCGTCCATCCGGCGTCCGTCCGTCGTCCGTCCGTAAACTTTTTCTTTAAATGACATCTCCTCATAAACCACTGAGCCAATTTCATCCAAACTTCACAGGAATGTTCCTTTGGTGGTCACCTTTAAAAATTGTTCAAAGAATTTAATTCCATGCAGAACTCTGGTTGCCATGGCAACCGAAAGAAAAATCTTTAAATATCTTCTTTTAAACAACCCTAAGAGCTAGAGCTTAGATATTTGGCATGAAACATCTTCTAGTGAGTGTCTACCAAGTTTGTTCAAATAAAAGCCCTGGGGTCAAAATTTGCCCCGCCCCAGGGGGTCATTGATTTTCCCTATATGCATATAGTAAAAACTTAAAAAATTTTCTTTTAAAGAACCATAAAAGCTAGAGCTTAGATATTAAGCATGAAACATCTTCTAGTGAATGTCTACCAAGTTTGTTCAAATAAAAGCCCTGGGGTCAAAATTGGCCCCGCCCCAGGGGGTCATTGATTTTCCCTATATGCATATAGTAAAAACTTAAAAAATCTTCTTTTAAAGAACCCAAAGAGCTAGAGCTAAGATATTAAGCATGAAACATCTTCTAGTGAGTGTCTACCAAGTTTGTTCAAATTAAAGCCCTGTGGTGAAATTCAAATTAAAGCCCTGTGGTGAAAATTGGCCCCACCCCGGGGGGTCATTGATTTTCCCTATATGCATATAGTAAAAACTTAAAAAATCTTTTTTTAAAGAACCATAAGAGCTAGAGCTTAGATATTTGGCATGAAACATCTTCTAGTGAATGTCTACCAAGTTTATTCAAATAAAAGCCCTGGGGTCAAAATTGACCCCGCCCCAGGGGGTCATAGATTTTCCCTATATGCATATAGTAAAAACTTAAAAAATCTTCTTTTAAAGAACCCAAAGAGCTAGAGCTAAGATATTTAGCATGAAACATCTTCTAATGAGTGTCTACCAAGTTTGTTCAAATAAAAGCCCTGGGGTCAAAATTGGCCCCGCCCCAGGGGGTCATTGATTTTCCCTATATGCATATAGTAAAAACTTAAAAAATCTTCTTTTAAAGAACTCAAAGAGCTAGAGCTAAGATATTTAGCATGAAATATGTTCTAATGGGTGTCTACCGAGTATGTTCAAATAAAAGCCCTGGGGTCAAAACTGGCCCTGCCCCAGGGGTGTCATTGTCTTTAACTATATGTGTATAGTAAAAACTTTAAAAATCTTCTTTTAAAAAACCCAATGAGCTAGAACTTAGATGTTTAGCATGAAACATCTTCTACCAAGTCTGTTCAAATAAACAAATAAAAGCCCTTGGGTAAAAATTGGCCCGGGGATGGGGGGGGCCTATATACAGGTGAGCGACCTCAGGGCCATCATGGCCCTCTTGTTTTATTGATTCATAGAGAAATAATCATCCTTAGACAACCTAAAATGGTTTAGAAATTTGTCAGAGACACCTTACTACAAGTCATATAGGCGTTCACATAAAAAATGTTGTCTGTTTTTGTTGTTGTTATACCCCCACCACAAAATGTGGGGGGGGCTATAATGGATTCGCTTTGTCGCGTCGGTCGGTCGGTCCGTCCGTCCGTCTCCATTTTCGTGTCCGCTCTATAACTCCTATACCACTTGAAGGATTTTCTTCAAACTTGGCTCAAATGTTCACCTCAGCAAGGGGATGTGCAGAACCCATGTTGCCCATGTGTCAGCTCAAGGTCAAGGTCACGATTGAAGGTCAAATATCAAACACAATCATATATTAGACAGTATGTCGTGTCCGCTCTGTAGGTCCTACAATAATTGAAAGATTTTCTTCAAACTTGGCTAAAATGTTCACCTCAACAAGGGGATGTGCAGAACTCATGTTGCCCATGTGTCATTTTAAGGTCAAGGCCACAATTGAAGGTCAAATATCAAACAATCAAATATTACACAATATGTCATGTCCGCTCTGTAAGTCCTACACTAATTGAAAGATTTTCTTCAAACTTGGCTCAAATGTTCATTTCAACAATAGGATGTGCAGAACCCATGTTGCTCATGTGTCAGCTCAAGGTCACAATTGAAGGTCAAATATCAAACAATCAAATATTACACAGTATGTCGTGTCCGCTCTGTAAGTCCTACACTTATGGAAAGATTTTCTTCAAACTTGGCTCAAATGTTCACCTCAACAAGGTTATGTGCACACCCCATGTCACTCTTTTGCCGGCTTAAGGTCAAGGTCACACTTGAAGGTCAAAAATTGACTTAGAAAATGTTCTTTAATTTTAACATATATCTGAATATTTCTGAATCTAGGAAAGGTTTTTGCTTGAAACTTAAAATATAAATGAAGTGTCACAATTAAGATATGCTGGTCAAGTTTCATAACTCTGTATTGCATTTTTAACAAAGTTATGCCCCTTTTTAATCTTCAAATTTACATACAATCACATATTAGACAATATGTTGTGTCCGCTCTATAAATCCTATACTAATGGAAGAATTTTCTTCAAACTTTTCTCAAATGTTCACCTTAACAAGGTTATGTGCAGAATCTATGTCACCTTTGTGTAGACTAAAGGTCAAGGTCACACTTGAAGGTCAAAAATTGACTTAGAAAATGTTCTTAGATTAAAACATGTTCTTGAATATTTCGGAAACTAGCATAGGTATTTGCTTGAAACTTAAAAGATATATGAGGTGTCACAATTACAATATGCAGGTCAAGTTTCATAACTCTGTATTGGATTTTGACAAAGTTATGCCCCTTTTTAAGTCTTTAAATTTACATACAATCAATACTAGACAATATGTTGTGTCCGCTCTATAAATTCTATACTAATGGAAGGATTTTCTTCAAACTTTACTCAAATGTTCACTCCAATTGGGCGATGTGCAGAACCCATCTTACCCTTGTGCCAGCTGAAGGTCAAGGCCACACTTGAAGGTCAAAAATTGACTTATAAAAAGTTTAGTATATTGGGAAAATGAAAGGTTATTTGTAACTGTTTCGAACATGATTTGATAAATAGATATTTTTACTATTACCTGTACAATTAGTCTTTTTTTTCACCAGAGATAATTTCTTTTTATGTATTTGTGTCACTTAAGTTATTCCCTTAACCACCTTTCCAAGTTGTCTTCTGTCAAGGACATTGGTGGGGGTATGAATCGCATTCAGCGATAGTTCTAGTTTTACTTGACATTGTTAGAAAACGAGGTTGAATGTAAAGTAAGCCCTTGAATCCGTACAAAAATCCATAATCTCAATGTAATATCTATCAGATTAACGGGACAGACAAATTATTTTCACACATTATGGATATTTTAGCAACTATATTTTTAAATCAACCCCGTGGTCATGCGATTTGCCGCTATGCTTAATTATTTATGTTTCATACATTATGTTACGTACATTGGCCGACAATTTCTTATTTTATAAAAAAAAAAGCTAAATAAAAGATAGACGATATTCATAAAAGATGTACGGTATTTGTATGATACATGAATTACGAGTAGTATGGACCAGTATGGACCGGTAATTCACGCATTTATGGAATTACCGATTTCCCTCATTGATGCCTCAACAGGGGGCGGGGCGTTTCCGATAATTGACAGGTTACGCGAATAGCAGATAAAAATGGTACGGGTACCGTTTTAAAACGTTTAAAAGCACAGTTTTTGGACTAACTGCTTCCAAAATTAAATCACGAATGTGTTCAGAAAAGGTTGATAAATCTACTAAGCAAAAAATCTCATTTTAGGTATTTTCAGTGATAATTGACTCCGTTGTCACCTTAATGATGTGAATAAAACATAAAATAAACTGTTATCTTTATTTTGCACAATAAATATTTTGGGCCTGTGATAATCTGTCTGGGCTTATACTTCTGCCTGCATGGGTTGGAGGCCCGATTATGGCCTACATTGTATGATCTAAAAAAGTTATTTTGCAGACTGAAAAATGAAAAGGACTTAAATAAATAAATATTATAGCATCATTCATACTATTACTTACTTTCATTGAAATGTTTAAATATGTATGTTTTTTAATTTATGCACCAAAAAATGATCAGAAGCCACGATACTATTTAATACGCAGAATTGAGGACCCAGGTGATTTTAAAGTTATTTTATAAAGACCTTCACTTTTGTTGCTGTCGTTTTTATTAAATCAAGAAAATTTACCATTATAATATCTTAAGTATTTCTAAGGACAGAAGGTACCTTACCTTGCAAGTAGTTAAAGTTAAACTTGGTTGGAGTTTTGAGATAGTTGGGGGGTGTCACTACAATCGATTTTTGGCACTGAGCATAAAAATAGAAGAGGGTTTTCTCATAGAACCTTTATTAACCCCACACAGAGCTGTTTACTGCTACATTTGTATACATGTACTTGTATTCAAAACTTCTTGTAGGTCACTTTCGAAATATTTTCATAAATTCATGGAAAAACAAAAACATACTGTGTGGCTGTTAAAATGAGGTAATGTTGGAAATGATGTTTGACATACATGATTGTATGACTGTTCAGTTTGATATAATTTTTACGTTTGTGTGGTTTTCAGAATGCATTGAGATTAAATTAACTTTGTGATGGTCTCGGAACTTGTACAAACATGGCACAGAGAGATATAGAAGGTCGTCTCTATGGGACACTGATATTAGAGGATGATAACCACAAATTTGTAAAGAAGGGTGAAAGATTCTTCCTCCTTGATTTGAAAGAAGGAAGATTAAAGCTATACTATGACCGTCCTGATGTAAGTACATGATTGTAGATCTTTTGATAATTATTGATGTTGTATTGTGTGTATATATTTTTTTTTTAAATTGATTTAAAGCAGTATGCCTCCAAAGTCATGCTTTTTTTTCTATAAAAATTAGAATTTAAAAACTGTTGTAGAAATAACAAAAAAATCCAAATATACTGAATTTAACTTGCCTTATGCACTGGTTATTCACAGAAATCACCAACCTATACAGACTCAGTTCACAGGCATTTGGCTCAAATGTTTTGTCACTTATGGTTATATTAACATAAAATAATCTTCAGCTAAATGTCAAGGAAAAAAATGACTATCCACTCCAGCACCCGTTTACGTATCCTATATAGTTTTTGTAAAGTAATCTATAGATTATAAAATTATGTATTTAAAGGCTGTTGGATCCATTTTGTAATTTTACAACAATTTTACTATTATTGACAAGAAAAATAAGCAGATTGCCTGTCATACATTGTACATGCATGATAAGGGAAAATATGTAGAAATAACCTTTACTCCGTTACTAACACACACACAAGAATAATAAATGTAGTCATACATTGTATATATTGTATTTTGTATATAACATGCAGAGTCACTATATTGTTGGTAATATTATTTGTCCTGTAATAAACTTTATATTTTTTTTTCCAATACTTTATTTTTTTTATTGCAATACTGTTTCAATTTTACATATACTTTGAAATTATACTTTGTGTGTTATAATTGTATGAATTAGTTACTAAAAACTCATGTTTTTCAATGATTAAATGAGCCATGTCACGACAAAACCAACATAATGCGTTTGCGACCAGCATGGATCCAGACCAGCCTGCGCAGTCTGATCAGGATCCATGCTGTTCGCTTACAAACCCTGTAACAAGTAGAGAAACCGATAGCGAACAGCATGGATCCTGATCAGACTGTGCGGATGCGCAGGCTGGTCTGGATCCATGCTGGTCGCAAACCCATTATGTTGGTTTTGTCGTGACGCGGCTCAAATATTTTTTTTATTTTAGCGCCTGCCGAAGACGTCAAATTCTCCTTGTCAAGAAATACAACTAAATTTTATATCAAAGGTATGATAGTAACATTTTATGATTTATTTATTTATTGTTTTTTATTAGGGAAAATTATTTACAGTTTGATATTTTGATGTCATTTAGTTAATGTTATCATGGAAACCAATTAGCTTCTATTTAATTTTTATTTTTCATTGGAATTTTTACTGTTAACACAATAGGTAAATCTGATAAGGAGTAATCTTTTTAAAAAAATTACTCACTTATTATTTTCAAATAATCAATCTGTCTTTATTGTGAAACTTTACATAAATGACTTAGAATGAATATAAGCTGATAGATTCATTGATATTGTTAATATTTCACTCTTCTGTAAACCATGTTCTCCAAGTGCTTTGTACACATGTATATGCTTTGAACATTGTTAAGTTTGTAATGCAGAATTATCTTTATTGTATTTTGGCGTATGTTATATTGCTCTTAAAAATCCTTATCAACACCTTATTTAAACATGGAAATCCTGGGTAAAAGATGAGACTTCTTTACATTAAAATGTCTTGTTTAGTAATCTTAAACAAAATTTTAGTTGACGTTTATTCCAGCCTGAAGGTTATTGGCATGCAATTTATAAGGATTAAATGTTAACATGAAAACATTATTGTAGTCTGTATCATCAAAGCGTTTAAAAGAAAATCACAAACGTCTGGATGATACATACGGGTGACCTACTAATCAACCTTCTCCTGTCTATGACAGTCACCTGTCTCCAAAGACCTTCATCTGTTGATTGATTATTGTCAATTATATTCTTGACACAAACGTTTTTGTTGTTTTTTTTTCATACAATTTTTAAAACAATTAATGAAAAATCTTTGAATTATGAAAACTTTCCCACGCAGGAAACCATTTTAACTTGTTACATATATTTACACAGGTTAGTGATGCAAGAAAAGTGCGTCCAAAGGCTGGCAATTGTTTTTGTAAGTATTTTAAAGTTTTCAATTTCACTTACTATAATAGGTCAACCATTTCTAAAATTTTAGATACATTGATTATGTAGTGTACATTAAGTATTTGCTTTAAATAGGATAAAGAGAAAGTGCGTTTGTGTGTTTGTGTGATGGTATAGAACTGTTTTCTCATAAGGGGAGAAAATTTGCAGCCTGTTTTGGACTTGAGTCATCAACTGATTACCATCCCTGGCTGTACCTACTGAGCTGTCCAGCCGCTTACACATCTTCTCCCCTTATAAGTGAACAGTTTATATACCATTGCATTGCCAGAGAGGAAACTAGTTATTAAACAAATTGCATTATTTTGAAGGTATAACTCATGCCGGGGACCAGATTTATATCCAGGCAACCAGTGAAAAAGAAATGCAGTACTGGATTGATGAGCTGAATGAAGCATGTAAAATAACAGTAAGTCTGTTACATTTCTTTATTAGCGTAACATTTCTTTATTAGCATATTCCATTGTTTGAGTTTTAAATCACTCTGACACGCATAAAGGTTAACTTTCTAGGTCTTTTGGGCGAGGAAGACCACTCGTAACCCTCTGTGCAACCCTCTGTGCATTATTTCTATTACATGCAATATCCATTGCTAATCTAGATGGATAACTTTCTGAAATGAAATAAAAATTCATAGTCATTAGAGACATACATATTTACAGATATGAATGGTCAGTGACTTTAACATTCAGAAACACTTGACCATGGAAACACCCGGCAACCACACCCCCTAGGATTATTAACTTATTCTCCATTAAACTGTTGTACTGGTAGCTTTCAATGTTTTCTGTCAGTTGCTTATTTGCTTGACTATTTGATGAATAGGGAGAGATATTGTACTTACCCAGGGGTTGGCATCGGTGTCTCGCTTTGTTTAGGTTTTGCTAGTAAGTTGGTATTTCCAAATAAACTGAAGGAAATGGGTTGAAACTTCACACACTTGTTTGAAAGTTTAATAGAAGGCCCATAACTCAAACATAGATTTTGACAGAATTATGGTCCTTTTTCTACTTAGAAAATTCTACATTATCCAGGCTTTTGTTTAACCATCAAGCACTGAGAATAGTTTAGCAAGCTGTTCTATGAACAGCTCTTTAATGAGTGTATGAACATTGAACAGTTGTGATGTCTGATTTGATTTTACTATAGTACATTCACATGCTGACTTTCCTTTATCCTGCAGATGACATAACCCTGGCCTTTATCATTATCCTTTTCATGAATTAATGCAAGAGGTCAATTTTTCTCACTTAGAAAATGAAAGTAATTAAAGTAAAGCTGTTAAAATATTAGTAGACCTTGTAAAAATTAAATTTATACCAGAATCGACCTTTTAGTCTATAGAGTTTTTATGCATTTCAGGTACCAATTGCTCAAACTCCAACATTGGCCCCAGGCAACTCTCGTTACGAAGTGGCAGGTGGAGTTATAAATCTTATGCAAGAGGTAGGTGGTGTCAAAAGCTGAACATGCCTTTAGTAAGGCGGAGTCAAAATTCAAATATTTACAGTTTTGAATATGATGGGAGTCTATAAATGTATGTACATGTAATTGGTAATGTTGAATAAAAATGAAGTAATGATTGTTATGTATGTGTTAATACTTGTTAAGTTGATCAATTAGTCTTCCAGTGCTCTTGAGGGATCTCCCCTTTTCCAGATTTTATATTGTTTTAACCATGTTTCTTCTTCAAACTGCTTATGAAAAGCAGTAATCTTAAATAATATAAGGCCATAAAAAACTTATACAACATTGCTTTAGAGATTATAATATCTATGTGGTATTTTATACATGTAATGTATTACATTTATTTATGTTCAGAGTGGAGATAGTGGGGAGGAGTCAGTAGAACACAATATGCCAGCCCTCTCACTACCATCCTATATGTCGGGTTATGCTGTGAAACAAGGAGCAGTGGTATGAACTGTTTTATTCTTATACAATGTATACATTCATTTATAATGTGTGTCTGCCATATGCTGTCATCACAGCTTTTGGGTAACTGTTGAGCAGAAACTCAGCAGAGCCTCGTAACCACCTTAAATATTTACCCTCAAGCTCAATATTCAAGTCTGTACTGGCAGCTAGTGAAAGATCCTTAAATGATCTAAGAAATACTTGTAAAACTTTAAAAGGGGCCCCCATGACCAAGCGGTTAGGGTCATTAACTTCAAAACACTTGCCTCTCACAGATATGGTTGAATTCTGGCAGGAACTTTGAATACTTTCATGTAAGGAAACTAGGAACTTTGAATTCTTTCATTTGAGGAAGCTATCCAGCTAGCTTACAGAAGGCCGGTGGTTCATGCCTGAAATAATTCACATACGAACACCTGAGGTCTTCCTGAAGCTGGAAAGTCACATTATGACCTATACTGAGTTGGTGCAACATAAAACCCAACTAAAAGGAGTAAGACTTTTAAGGGCCACACATATAAATAATAGACTATGAAACAACATGTATTCCAAGATTTGACTGTTCGCATGTTATCAATGATAAGTTATCATAGAACTACGCTTTGTAATGAAGCAAAGTTGCTATGTCATAGAATTTTTTTTTTTTAATAAAGCAAAGCTGATGTAAGTAATCGCTAATGTAAGTAACAATTCAAATGTAATCTGATTTTAACATACATGTACAGTTACATACTATCCCTAACATTTTTTACCCTTTGACCAGATCAGACCTAGATGTGCCAGAAAATACTATAAAATTCTTGTATAATTAAATGCTTCTACTCTTATTCAGTTTTCTTGTGATTGCAGAGAAAAAACTGGAAGAAACGCTACTTTGTGCTGGACACAAATGGTTTATCGTATTTTAAACATGACCAGGTAAAATATTGTCTTGTTACCCTATTTTGCTAAGAATAGATGAAAACCAGTCAGATTTTTTTTAAAATGGGGTCGATTACATGATTAACAGAAATACTGAAAAACCATTAAAAAAAACTAGGATTTAGACAAAAGTGATAAACCCACACACAGATATAACTAGCGATAAGGTGTTAATAATTGTCATTAAACTTTTTAGCCAGGACAATGTGTTTTCGGTGTGTTGACATGTCAATGTGCCTATAGTATTTTATTTTAATGAAGCAATAGTAAATCAAGTTTAGCATTATGCGATATCATTGCTGATCATGGTCCCAAATTATTTTGGAGATGCAGATTACATGTGTTTAGTTGTTGGTGTGTCCTCTTTTCGTCAGTTTCACTAACTTACCTGATAGATTCATATAATTTAAGACATTTTCAGGATTACTCCAGGATTTTAGAATTTTTTTACTCCACAAAGTCTACCTTTTTCTATATGAGGCTTATAAAAAAACTGAATTTGGTTGTTCATCATGTTATAATTTTATCCATGTTTTGAACTTTTGATGATAATTATTTCCAATATTTCAGGATAAGGAACCAATAAAGACAATACCACTGACAGATATTCAAGATGCCAGACTTGTAGAAGGGTATGCTTTCTTTTACATTTAAAATTTATATTAAGTGTGAGATTTTATGCAAATGTCTTAGGTATTTAAGTTGTACAATTGGTTTGACTATTATAATAGTGAGATGGAAATTTATGCAATCTACTAAAGGAGATAAATTTTTGTTGTATGCTGCAATAGGTCTTTACCAGTTAAAAGGCTTTTACCAAGTTTAACAATTTTTCAGTCAAATGAATTGAAAGTTTGAAAAACATACCCTGGATCAGTATCATCTCTACATTAGACACTTGTTTTAGTAAAACAAATTTGTAGATTTGAAAGAGAATATATTAAGAGAATATATAATATACTAGTTAATAATAAATGAATGATAATGTATTTACAATCAGTCTTAGTTAATATGTTAGGTGGTCTGACCACTATGATAAGACCAAACAATACAAGTTCATAACAAAATATTTAGCAGGGTAATGGCTTGACTAATTTGGTTCAAAAAAGACCATCCAGGGAAAATAAGGACCACATCCCGAGACAAAATGACCGTGGAGGGGCAAAAAGTACATGCTAGGAAAAAAGTAATCGGCGAAAAATGCTTTCAAATGTGGATTTAAGTTACACATAATAAAGACTCTGTATCTTTAAGTCATCATTATTCATTAATCATTATCTGCTGCTAGAATGTCTGGTATTTCAACAATGAACTATGTTATGTTTTGTATTTTACAGTCAACATCATCCTCATAGACAGAATTTGTTTGAAGTGGTTACTACAGACAGAACATTTAATATACAGGTAATATGTTCATCATGTAAGGTAACCTGAATATTTAAGTACCAAGTAGTGAACCATGAGTGTTATTATCCCCCCCACTACCTTGTCAGTCCTGCTGTCATGCAGCTTGTCCATAGAATGGCAAAACTATGGACTGTGGGTTGTTTATTGCCTATGGACACCTTTAAAATTTCTGGAAGTATTTATGTGCCAATGCTGAAATATACTAGGATTTTATCTGTTTCAAACCATTCAGACACACCAATGAATGACAAGAGAAATTTTCATTTTTGATATAGATTCCTTTAAAATTGTTAAGAGTAAAAATAATTCAAATAATATTAAGGGTATCTATATGAAACTTGGAATACTTGCCTATCATGACTAAAGGCAGTTGTAAGACAACGGGCATAATTCTGAAAGCTTTATTTTTGTAGTTATGCCCCTTTTTAACTTTTTTGATTTTTTGTCAAAAGTGGTTATTTTAGATAGTCGAGTGTTAACACTTCATGTGATGCTCTTGTACAATTTAAAGAGCATGTTAAAAATTTGACCTAAGGGATCAAATTCAGATATCAATGGGTACCTGATTAGAACAGTAGATCATCTGTACACTGGTCACATGGCTTCCTCACATGAAATAACTCCTAGTCTTAGTTGGGGATTTGAACTTACACCAGTGAGAGGCAAATTATTTATAGTAATATTAAGTTAAATAAGATAATTTTTGATAAATGAGCAGCGCCATGACAAAACCAACATAATGGGTTTGCGACCAGCATGGATCCAGACCAAACTGCGCATCTGCACAGTCTGATCAGGATCCATGCTGTTCCCTTAAAGACCCTATAACAAGTAAAGAAACTTATAGCGAACAGCATGGATCCTGATCAGACTGCGCGGATGCGCAGTCTGGTCTGGATCCATGCTGGTTGCAAACCCATTACATGTATGTTGGTTTTGTTGTGACGCGGCTCAAATATGCTAATTGTTTTATATTTATAGTGTGATAGCCGTACTGACAGTGAAAGCTGGGTCTCACATATCAATAAATTTGCGAAACAAGTCATTACATCACATGTGAGTACATATATGATATTTTTCATTATATTTACCATATATATATATCCATGGATATAACAAGAATAATTTAAGGCATTTATTGAGAGATGTGCTGTAATAAACTTAGCTTTATATCAAAATTTAGAAATGAGAATAATATTTTTCTGACCTTTGTTGAATTATATACATATTCATCACCTTCACATGATTTAGTTGTTGTTTTTTCTTCACTATAGGCAATGGAAAATGAATTTCTAGTTTTTTAATGATGAAAGGGTGAAAAAGCACATTTAATTTTTCACATTTTTTTAATTATGTTTTTGTGTGTATATTAATGAGTTAGGACATCATATAAATTTGAAAGTAGATAAAAAAGATCCTTCAATGATTATAATGATTAAAAATTTGATGAATACTTTTTCTTTATCATGAAAAAGCAGATTCTTATGGTTTAGTCTTAAGAAAGTCATTTTACAAATGTAAAGCTACTTTTGAGCAACAAAAACTTAAGTAAACCGATAGAATATTCATGGTGTTGAGTGGGTTGATCATTTTTCTAGAGGATAAGTGTGGATGTAAATCTTAATCATACATTCTCTATTGCCTATATGATAAAACAGTACTCAAGATAACAGCCTTTCTATGGATGTTTTCATGTAGCCAGTAGATAGTATCTATTGTTTTTGTGTAAAATGTTAATACCAAATGAAAATAAAATCAACAAGAATAGTTCACACAATTTTTTCGTTTCTGCTTTGATCCTAATTTTGCCATCTAAGCTCATAAGTGAATTACTTGTTTCTGATAGCTTACCTTCTAAACAGTTCATTTTGGTATATTTCCTAGGTTTATCAAATTTGTTTAGAAATCGATATTTTCCACACCATATTGTTTATCATGGCTCACACTATTCACATATAATTGTAATACACTTCAGATTATTCCTCTATTAAGCTTTTAATATTAAGTTTAACCCTCAACCTTCAGTTTTACCAGGTTCATAACTGTAAAATTATCTAATTTTACATTTTCATTTTGATATCCTCAAACTGATAATGGCTTTCCAAAAATGAAAGCTGGAAAAATCCATTTAAGAAATTTCAGCAGGTGAAGGGGTTAAGACTAATATTTTTATAATGTACTTTCATACAAACTGCAATGCCCCTTCTCAGTAATATTACATATATCCTGTGTAAGTGAAATGAGCCGTGTCATGACAAAACCAATGTAAACTAATGCAGTTTGCGACCAGCATGGATCCAGACCAGCCTGCGCATCCGTGCAGTCTGATCAGGATCCATGCTGTTCGCTATCAGTTTCTCTACTTGTTATAGGGTTTGTAAGCAAACAGCATGGATCCTGATCAGACTGCGTGGATGCGCAGGCTGGTCTGGATCCATGCTGGTTGCAAACCCATTATGTTGGTTTTTGTCATGACACGGCTCAAATGATAATGTTCCGCTCCACAGGTTGGCTCACCTGATATACAGTAAGTATGATAACCTCACATGTTTTTATCTGTTCACTAGCTCTCACACTCAATGTTTACACTCAATGTTTGTGTTTATTTGTACCCAGAATGCAACACAACTTTGTTAAATAAGAGGTGAATGTTGCCTCTGATAGTGATATCAGTTGTTTTAAACTTATAATATATAAAATGATTTTACCAATTCATTAGGAAGAAGAAATATACAGGTACTTAATTAGAAGCAAATTGATTGCAACAGAACTTTTTCACATGTAGCTTTTTTAATTATTACACTTTTATAAGCAACTTTTAAACTGATAAAACATTCATAGCAAAAATTGTATTTAATTTAGAAAAGCGTAAATCTAAGGATTGCTATGCACATGGGTTCCAACTGTGTTAGGGGCAAACTGTTTGGGCAAGAAACTTTTAACACTTTGCTTAGTATTGGTTGGTTCAGGACCAGATTTGATGCGTTTATAAGTTTATAACTTCTGAAATAGTAAAACTGAAATAGATTATATATAAACTAAATGCGTAAATCTTGTTTTTATTAACTAAAAGAGTAAAATTTGTCGGAAACAAATAAGGTCATGTATAAACTTATTTTTGGTTTTAACAGAGACTTGAATCATTATATGAACAAGTAATACATTTGTATAAAACTATTTTAGTATTTTAAACGTAAAAGAAAAATGTACATAAAAAAATTAATTTCTTACCAACATATATGTTGTGTTGTTTAACTGCCTATTCATTGAATCATGTTTTCTTTTGAATTTCATGATTTATTTATCTAATTAAATATTTATTAATTTCATTTAATGTTATTGACATTTAAGATATTGTATTAATCTGATGGGCATGTAAAAAGTTATTCTGACTATGCTGAAGAAAAACTCTTTTTTAGTTTTTAAGGCAATTTAACACATTCTCCACTGAAGTAAATTTGTTTGTACATTTCTTTCTTTCCACATACATCACAGATATGATTTAAAATTAAATGTAATTTGCTCATTTTAAACAAATAATCTGTTTTTACATGTATTATTAGTAGAGGCGTTGTGTATTCTGGTTGTAGGATTAATTGTATTGCTAGTTAAATTGGTCTATGCCAGTGGAATACATAGAAAAACTCTGTTTCCACAGTGACAGACTTTTTTTGAAGTGATTGATAAGTTTGTATATAAACAAAACAATCATGAAGTTCTTATAATTTTTTGCATTCAGAGTCCTTGAGAATTCTTTTGATGATAAAACAAAAAAAAAAAAAAAAAAAAAAAAGAAAATTGAAATATTTTCAATGATACGTACAGATATCTTTGTATGAAAAAGTAATCACATTGTTGGTTTAATATACATTTTTGATTAAAATGTAACCACATCTGTTTTTAGCTGAAACATTACAAGAACAGTAATTATCTCTGCTTTGCACAGAAACAGTAAAGGAACCATACTATAGCTTTGAACAAAAAAAAAAGGAATTATACCTTGCTTTGAATTATAACAATAAAAGAATAATTATTATAACCTTGCTTTGAATTAAAGCAGGAAAAGAACTTAATTAAAGTTGGCTCCAATTACAAACAGTAAAGGAACTATAACCTGGCTTTGAATTATAACAATTAAAGAATTGAAGGTACTATGTCCTAGCTTTTAATAAAAACTGAAAAGGATCTTTTTAACAAGGCTTTAAATCATTACAGAAAAAAGAACTTTAACCTGGCTTTGAATTAAAACAGTAAAAGAACTATAACCTTGCTTTGAAATAAAGCAGAAAAAAAGATCTTTAATTTGGCTTCAATTAGAAACATTAAAGGAACTATATTCTGGCTTTAAATCAAAACAGAAAAGGTCATATAATAAAGCTTAAAATCATAACAGAGAAGGAACTTTAACCTGGCTTTGAACAGTAAAAGAACTATAACATTGCTTTGAATCAAAAGAGAAAAAATAACTTTAATTTGGCTTCAGTTTCAAATGTAGAAACATTACAGAACTATAACCTGGCTTCAAATCAAAATGGTACAGGAACTATTACATAGCTTTAAATTAAAACAGTAAAACAAAGCTTTAAATTAAAACAGTAAAACAATTTTGCTTTATTTAGAACAGGAACTATAACCTAGCCTTAAATTAAAAAAGTAGAGGAATTTTAAATTGACCCCAATAAGAAACATTTTAGGAACTATGACCTTGTTAGCTTTGAATTAAAACATTGAAATAATAAGGGAACTGAAATGTGATCTACTTTGAATTGAAATAATAAGGGAACTGTAATGTGATCTACTTTGAATTGAAATAATAAGGGAACTGTAATGTGGACTGCTTGGAATTGAAATAATAAGGGAACTGTAATGTGATCTACTTTGAATTGAAATAATAAGGGAACTGTAATGTGATCTACTTTGAATAGAAATAATAAGGGAACTGTAATTTGGACTGCTTTGAATTGAAATAATAAGGGAACTGTAATGTGATCTACTTTGAATTGAAATAATAAGGGAACTGTAATGTGATCTACTTTGAATTGAAATAATAAGGGAACTGTAATGTGATCTACTTTGAATAGAAATAATAAGAGAACTGTAATGTGATCTACTTTGAATAGAAATAATAAGGGAACTGTAATGTTGACTGCTTGGAATTGAAATAATAAGGGAAGTGTAATGTGATCTATTTTGAATTGAAATAATAAGGGAACTGTAATGTGATCTACTTTGAATAGAAATAATAAGGGAACTGTAATGTGGTCTACTTTGACTTGAAATAATAAGGGAACTGTAATATGAACGGCTTTGAATTGAAATAATAAGGGAATTGTAATGTGGTCTACTTTGAATAGAAATAATAAGGGAACTGTAATGTGGTCTACTTTGACTTGAAATAATAAGGGAACTGTAATGTGGACTGCTTTGAATTGAAATAATAAGGGAACTGTAATGTGGTCTACTTTGAATTGAAATAATAAGGGAACTGTAATGTGGTCTACTTTGAATTGAAATAATATAGGAACTGTAATGTGGACTGCTTGGAATTGAAATAATAAGGGAACTGTAATATGAACGGCTTTGAATTGAAATAATAAGGGAATTGTAATGTGGTCTACTTTGAATTGAAATAATAAGGGAACTGTAATGTGGTCTACTTTGAATTGAAATAATATAGGAACTGTAATGTGGACTGCTTGGAATTGAAATAATAAGGGAACTGTAATATGAACGGCTTTGAATTGAAATAATAAGGGAATTGTAATGTGGTCTACTTTGAATTGAAATAATATAGGAACTATAATGTGGACTGCTTGGAATTGAAATAAAAAGGGAACTGTAATTTGGACTACTTTGAATTGAAATAATAAGGGAACTGTAATATGAACGGCTTTGAATTGAAATAATAAGGGAATTGTAATGTGGTCTACTTTGAATTGAAATAATATAGGAACTGTAATGTGGACTGCTTGGAATTGAAATAATGATGTTTTATATTCAACACAAATTATTCTTTCATGCTAGAAAAGTGCATTAGATTACTCAGGTGCTTCATTGTGCTAGGATAATTCATAGAGGCACCAGCTGTAGAAGTTTCCCTCCACCATTGTTATATGCCCTTGATAATGTTGATGTCTTCTAAAGAAATATTTTTGAAACATTAAGAATAAAAAAAAAAAATTATGACCCCTTTGTAATGATTATAATGACAGTTTTATAAAAAAAAAATTGTTGCTTCAATGTATGTTTTTTTTATCTAAAAAACATTTATGTAAAAAAATATTAATATAATAATAACTTTGATATATTTCACTTATAATTAAATTGTTAACATTCACTTTGTAATTTTTTATTATTGACTCATATGTTCCGTAAATTCTGCATGGGTCACTTTTATTAATGCACTAACTTACAAAAAAATAATATTGTGTTATGTGAACATCAGTGAAACTTTAAGGTTAAGGTAAATATTCTGCTTCATACTATCAAACAAGGTCTTGAAACAGATGCAATAACTTTGAAAAGTATACAATAAAGATATTCAGAACCTTAATAATCATGTTTTCATAATTATGTGTTATGGTCATACCTGGATTTAAAAAAAAAAAAAATTTGGTGGTGGGGGGAGGGGGTTAACATCGCACCAACAATGGGATTTTAGATAACATTTTTGTTTGTGATGGGATTTTCATTGTCTTTCTCATTTGGTATTCAGGTTACACATAATTCATTTGATAAATTACAGATTACTGTCTTTGAGTGATTAAAAATCAGGATAAAAGAATTCTTTCATTGACAAGTGGTGCTTTAGTTTTCAATTGATACTGATTGTTTTTTTTTTCCATTTTCTTTCATTTTAGTGGATTGTTTTTTTTTCCATTTTCTTACATTTTAGTGGATTTAAAATGTAAATGTTAATGTGATTTTGGTGTGTCCCATGGACTAATACATGCTACAATTTTTAGCTGTCTATTGTTGCAGGATAACATATTTCTTTAAGATCAAGCTAAACAGCCATTACTTTGGATCATGGATGAAAAAATATTGAAAATTAATGTTGAAAGTCTGTTAGTATATGATTTGATATGAAAATAATTTGAAAGTTCTGTAAGATATTGTTGAAATCAGGATGCACAAATTAGAGGATAAAGATGGTATTAAAATATATCCTTAGTGCAGTAATGGGTTAACTCCTATTAAATCTTAATAGAAATTAACTTCCTCTGTGAATCAGATCTATAAGACTGTGTTTATTATTACAACAAAGATACTATGTCTTGTAACTGCAATAAATATCTATTTGACCCTTTTTACTGATCTTTTTTAATGTGGATATTCAAAAATTGTTAATTGATCAATTAACTAATTAAACACTAACGTAATGATGTAGAGAAATGATACATATTTATATAACTTCAGGATTACAGCCCTGTGACAGAATATAAGACAGAGCCTTTGAAGAAGTTTACATCAAGCCAGCCACCAGCCTCATCACAGGAAGAGGTGAAACCTAGCAAAGCAGTATGGGTATGACCTTGACATTGAATGACCTCAGCATGACCTTTAGACATTGAATGACCTCAGCATGACCTTTTCCACTCTGATCTGATTGCTTGATATTATATGTTGATCTAGACTAGAATAATGTTATGATCTATGCAGTATGTTTGATAACCTGTTTAAATGTTTATAGAATGTGTCCTATATTGAAACAACATATCTAAGATCAAGTGTTATTTTATACCTGAAAAAAAAGGTTCTATAAATCGAAGAATTGTTCATGTTTTATATGTTTTGATTCTTGTAATTGTCTTAAATTGTTTGTTTGTCTTTTATTGTTTGTTAGCTGAACTTAACTCTACAGCAGATACTTTTATTTGTTACAGATTTAAAACAAAACAACAAAAAAACAACATTTTATTAATACCAAAGAAAGTAAAAAATTGAATGATCTCTATTCCATTCACAACTACCTATTGATATTCATTTTGTAAACTTGTAACGAGATGAAGGCGCCTTATTAGGCACTTCCTGTAACTTTATAAAATTATACATATTATCATAATAGACTTGTGACCTTACATCTTCAGTTGTAACTAACATTTTCTCTTAGGTTTATGTGCAATGGTTCCTTGTTTTTATTTGTTAAAGAAAAAATTTGGAGACATTTTCTTTAAATTAATATTCAGAAAACAGGAAAACCCAGTTTTGTTACCTCTGTTTAAACCCTAAGTCTGTTGGATTCAGTCTGAATCTATCCATGCAGCTAGTGCAGACCAAAAATAAGCTGGCACATCCGTGCTGTCTGATCATGGTCGGCACAGTTACCTATTCAGTCAGAAGTTTTGGTCCAGATTGAAAGATGTAGAAGTTCATTTAAGATATTTGTTTTAGTAAAGGTTAAGGTATGATAGTCATAATTACTGTTAGAAATAGGTATGAAACTTCAGAATCATCCATTAAAGCTGCCTCCAGATGAGCCTAAATATTATTAAAATCAAACTTGAGATAACTGTACTAAGATTTTAGGAAAAGTAAAAAGATTAAAAATTTAATAATTTACATGTATTGTGCAGTTAATAAATGATTTTTTCAGTATTTCTAACCATATTTCTACTGTGTTACTAATGCAGTAAAGGCTATTTCGAATATTTTTACCTCATTTTGGTAATTTACATGGGTCGTGAGTGCTGTTTGTAATTTGTAAATTACGTCCTTTTTGTTACTAAACAATATTTTACTTTCAAATACATTTTCAAAATTTTCATGAAAATTAGATGTATCTGGAGGCATGCTGCTTTAAAGCTGAACGCCTCCAGATGAGCCGAAATATTTCAAGAAAATCAATATTGAGTAAAATGTACTAAAATTTTAAGAAAGGTAAAAAAATCAAGATCGAAGTTTATTTTACATGTAATGTGGGGTTTAAGACTGATTTTGCAGTATTTATCACCATATTTCTAATGCGTTACTAACGCTGTAAGGGTTTTTTTTTGCATAAGATGACCACTTTTTAGTAATTTTCTTGGATTGTAAGTGCCGATTGCAAAACGTAAATTACTATTTTTGTTCACCTTACAATATTTTACTTTCACATACATTTCTAAAATTTTCATGAAAATCAACACGAATCTGGAGGCATGCTGCTTTAAGTCAGTCACATGTCTTATAGTTTAAATTTAAAAGCAATATACATTGTACATGTTATTTTTGGGTTTTATCTTTTTTGTCATAAGTAACTGTTTTATCATTAATCAAAGGTTTTATGTAGATATTTACATGTATTGAATTTATTGTTGAAATGTATCAATTTGAACATAGTGCCATCAAGTACAATTACGGGTTACACACTGTAAGAAATGGTGGAAACTTGATCAACGATAGTCTATGAAAATTTTGAAAACCATTATATACATATAATTCTTGTAATTTCTACAACTTCAGTTCGTATCAACATTAAAAAAACATGCATTGTGTGGTAAACTAAAGATGCTGAAGAATGAATAGCCAACAATGGGAATATCAGACTTCCAAATTCCTTTTGACTGCGCAGACGCGCAGGCATCTGCGCAGGCTGGTCTGGATCCATGCTGGTCGCAAACGCATTATGTTGGTTTTGTCGTGACACGGCTCATTTTTTGATTAATTTGTTTATTCATCTCATTTTAGTTAATGTTATTTTCATTGATAAATCCTATTTTGATTAATTAATACTATTTTGATTAATTAATACTATTTTGATTAATTAATCCTATTTTGATTAATTAATCCCATTCAGGCTAATTGATAATATTCTTGATGCTAAAATGACCTATATATGTTTGTATATCTTTCCTAACATTTATTTAGTTTTTTTCCTTTGCAACATTAAATTAAATGATAATGCTTACACTGCTGCATTGTGGGAGATTTTTAACTAATTGCATCTTATATGTGACTAAAACAATCCATTTTAAAACCATTAGAACTTGACATGTTAGAATTGTATGAAGCCCTAATCACTTGCTATAAAAATGAAAGTTGGTGATGCTAAAAATAATCTTTGCGTAGAATATATACATACTAATAACATATAAAAAGCCAGGAAAAAAACCTTTTAGTTCCTAGCATGTCAGGAAAAATTAACATCAGCTGTTGCTAGAATTTCTCTTGCCAATTGTAATTTTGCATCAAAATTAATATTTTAATTTTATAATTTTGACAAGAATAATATTTTTTTTGTTTTTTGTTTGTTTTGTTTTTGTTTTTTGTTGTTTTTAGCTCACCTGTCACAAAGTGACAGGGTGAGCTTTTGTGATCGCTTTTCGTCCGGCGTCCGTCCGTCCGTCGTCCGTCCGTAAACTTTTACTTTAAATGACATCTCCTCATAAACCACTAAGCCAATTTCATCCAAACTTCACAGGAATGTTCCTTTGGTGGTCACCTTTAAAAATTGTTCAAAGAATTTAATTCCATGCAGAACTCTTGTTGCCATGGCAACCAAAAGAAAAAACTTTAAATATCTTCTTTTAAAAAACCATAAGAGCTAGAGCTAAGATATTTGGCATGAAACATCTTCTAGTGAGTGTCTACCAAGTTTGTTCAAATAAAAGCCCTGGGGTCAAAATTGGCCCCACCCCTGGGGGTCATTGATTTTCCCTATATGCATATAGTAAAAACTTAAAAAATCTTCTTTTAAAGAACCGTAAGAGCTAGAGCTTAGATATTTGGCATGAAACATCTTCTAGTGAATGTCTACCAAGTTTGTTCAAATAAAAGCCCTGGGGTCAAAATTGGCCCCGACCCAGGGGGTCATTGATTTTCCCTATATGCATATAGTAAAAACTTAAAAAATCTTCTTTTAAAGAACCCAAAGAGCTAGAGCTAAGATATTAAGCATGAAACATCTTCTAGTGAGTGTCTACCAAGTTTGTTCAAATTAAAGCCCTGGGGTCAAAATTGGCCCCGCCCCAGGGGTCATTGATTTTCCCTATATGCATAAAGTAAAAACTTAAAAAATCTTCTTTTAAAGAACCATAAGAGCTAGAGCTTAGATATTTGGCATGAAACATCTTCTAGTGAATTTCTACCAAGTTTGTTCAAATTAAAGCCCTAAGGTCAAAATTGACCCCGCCCAAGGGGGTCATAGATTTTCCCTATATGCATATAGTAAAAACTTAAAAAGTTTTCTTTTAAAGAACCCAAAGAGCTAGAGCTAAGATATTAAGCATGAAACATCTTCTAGTGAGTGTCTACCAAGTTTGTTCAAATTAAAGCCCTGGGGTCAAAATTGGCCCCGCCCCGGGGGTCATTGATTTTCCCTATATGCATATGGTAAAAACTTAAAAAATCTTCTTTTAAAGAACCATAAGAGCTAGAGCTTAGATATTTGGCATGAAACATCTTCTAGTGAATGTCTACCAAGTTTGTTCAAATAAAAGCCCTGGGGTCAAAATTGACCCTGCCCCAGGGGGTCATAGTTTTTTCCTATATGCATATAGTAAAAAACTTAAAAAATCTTCTTTTAAAGAACCCAAAGAGCTAGAGCTAAGATATTTAGCATGAAACATCTTCTAATGAGTGTCTACCAAGTTTGTTCAAATAAAAGCTCTGGGGTCAAAATTGGCCCCGCCCCAGGGGTCATTGATTTTCCCTATATGCATATAGTAAAAACTTAAAAAATCTTCTTTTAAAGAACTCAAAGAGCTAGAGCTAAGATATTTAGCATGAAACATGTTCTAATGGGTGTCTACCAAGTATGTTCAAATAAAAGCCCTGGGGTCAAAACTGGCCCCGCCCGGGGGGGGGGGGGTCATTGATTTTCCTTATATGTGTATAGCAAAAACTTAAAAATCTTCTTTGGAAAAACCCAAATAACTAGAGTTTAGATATTAAGCATGAAACATCTTTAAGTAAATATCTACAAAGTTTGTTAAAATAAACGCCCGGGGGTCAAAACTGGCCCTGCCCCAGGGGTGACATTGTTTTTAACTATATGTGTATAGTATAAACTTTAAAAATCTTCTTTTAAAAATGCCAATGAGCTAGAACTTAGATGTTTAGCATGAAACATCTTATGGGTGTCTACCAAGTCTGTTCAAATAAACAAATAAAAGCCCTTGGGTAAAAATTGGCCCGGGGGCGGGGGGCCTATATACAGGTGAGCGACCTCAGGGCCATCATGGCCCTCTTGTTTTTATTATTATTTTTTATCCCCCCCCCTGTTTTGTGTTAAAGTTACAGCAGTGTACAAGCCACATGTCTGATTAGCATCAAAGACAGCATAAATTTTGTTTTATAGGAACAGACACTTGACACAGAAATGTTGAAATTTGATATCTCTATAATGAATAACTATTACGAATCCTTAATGTTTATTGTACATCATTGGTATATGCAAATCAAGTAGAGTAGAAAAATGCATGTATATGCATGAGCTATCTTAATAGCAATTCAATTGATCCAACTGACTGTTTTATTATTATTGTTCTGTTTCAAAGATGTCTTTAACATTTTGTTTTTGATATATTTTGTGTGTTTTTATTCAGGTAATCATATCCTTGATAAAAAAAATAACAAAATTCTGTTATGCAGGTTTAAACCATTAAATTTGATGAAACCTTTTAAACTTTACCCTCCTGGCATGAACTGAATCAACCCAGCATGCAACCTGTGCAGACCAAGATAAGTTGATACATCTGTGCTGTCTGATTGTGGTTTGCACTGTTCCCTATTCAGTCATTAAATTATCTTTGAAATTTTCCCCTAAAATGGTGAATGGTTTTGTCCAGATTGAAATATGGACAAGTCCATTTAAGATATTTAGCATGGTAAAGGATAATGTAGCAATGAAAGACACAAAAATAAATATCAGTGAGGTAAAATTCTGCCATGCGAACATCATTGTTGTAATAGTAAAATGTTTTTTTCTCATGTAGAAATATTTGTAGAATATGTTTTAAATTGTTATCGAACAATAATGTTTAAATTTTGCAATTTAATTTTTGATGCAATATTGAGATCCATATTTGTTTTGACATGGCATAATATATTACTGTGTGAATAAATCCCATGTACCTATATTTTAAGGATGCTGTAGCCATGTGCATTTTTTTTACTGCCTTTAAAGAACACAATCATGTACATGTATATGGAATGATAATATTTTCTATGAATTATTTTACACAGCCTCTCTTTAATGAAATGATTTCACAGTAGAAACCCAATTTTGTGAAATAAAACTGTTTTGCATAATTTGTTGACATGTTTTTATTACAAAAGCATTTTTTTAGATACAAAAATATAAACCTTTATTATACATGTAATAGTAATCAAAACCTTTTAGATTATTTTGACTTGATATCATTATGTAAGTGATATTCAAAATTCTTATATTGTAGTTTATTGAAAAACTTGTTTCTTATACATATACTGTTTAGATTGATGTATTTGGAGCTATTTCTTATTTAAATGATATATTTTGTATTCATGTTCACATATTTTCCTATTCATTCCAGCCATGTGTTCATACATTCCATAATATTATAGTAACATTGTAACGTTTATATTTTTGTTTAAAGTAACACAGTACAAAGTTTAATGCCAGTTATGTGCAAAGATTATTTTTCTGGTGCTTTTAAGTTATTCTTTCATATATATCCACATCTAAGTGCAGTAATAGGTTAACTCCTATTAAAATTCAATATGAGATAATTCATTACTGCACTAAGGTGACGATATGTTGGTTACATATTTAAAAACAGTTTCTTTCGCACTTAAATTATACATAACTTTTTCTTTCTGTTGTTTGGACATTTAGCATGTTGTTTGTATTTTGACAAATATGCTAGAAGACATTTCTTGTAGCTGTATTAGATGCATTTCAATTCAGTTGAAAGTATTTTGTGAAATTAGTGATCTTTGTAAAGTTGCATGAAAAAAGTGTATAAAAATTTTTTTTCCTTCAGAAGATATGCTTTTGAAAATATTAGAATATTGAGTGACACACCCACTTATTTGAGGTAAAAATTGAAAGAATTTATTACTTTTACTGTGTTATCAGCATAGTTTTAGCTTTTCCTGTATATTTTTGTCTTGTTATAGATAATTTTTCTCAACATTATGGGTTCGAATCCCGACAGAGACTTTGGATTTTTTAATGTGAGGAAGCTATCCCGGTAGCTTACATAATGTTGGTGGTTCTACTCATGCCTGTAAAAAAGCAAAGAAAGGCTTCGGAGATCTTCCTCCACCTGTAAAGCTGGAAAGTCACATGATATGACCTATACTGTGTTGGTGCAACGTAAAACTCAACCAATCATAGTATGGTTTATACCTCACTGCATGCATTGATTGTCTACACCAAAATTGTCATTGACTTAAAACCTACCTTTTTGCATACCTATAACATTTATGTGA